GTGGCTGCTCTGTGCGCCTCCGTGGGGTAAGCACCAAGGGTTCTGCTCCTCTTTCTTGCCAGAGATCAGAAGAAACTGAATCATAGCCTGCTGCGGACAGAAGGAGGGGTAGGGAAGAGTACCGCACCGCTTCACGTTCTTAAAACCTCTTTGGAGTGGCTAAAAAGCCTCTGCCCATCTCCACATGATACAAAACGGCTCTTTGAGGCACATCTTCACCCAAACAGCTACTGTACCACGTAGGAGCTGCTGCTCGCCTAACACAAATTTATCTTAGGGTACACTTTAGGTTCTGTATCACAGCTGTTGACAGATTATTAGCACCAATCTGAAAACTTCATGAATATTCATTGCTTCACCTATTTTCTTACGTATTGCTCTTATAAATCAATTATTTCAGGTACAGCCATGAGATGAACATTGTTCTGACATTCGCCCTAGAGCCGATTATAGCTCCACTCTTCTGTTCTTGGCCAAAATGGGATTCCCTAAATATTGACTGTGGTCATTAAATTAACTGGAGACATTGTACAACGTGTATTCACAGGTGTACATCAAACATGAACAATTACCTTCTTAAAGAAAAAAAATTACATGCAGACATTAATTCAAGCTAGGACAGCAAACTAATCTTAATTAATAAAACTCAAGCTGTAATTAATCTGTAATTATTAAAAATCTAAGCTACATAAATCTTAATTTTCTTTTTTTTTTCCCCGCTATGGTGTACTTCTGGTTGGATATACCGCCGCTGCTGTATCGAAGCAGTTCATAGCATACCAGTATTCATTGTTCCTTCGTCCCCTACTGTCCCCAGCACCAGGGAGACTTTGTGTCTTTTTGGGCCCGGGCCCAGCCAATGGGGCAGGGAGCGGTCTCAGGGACTTGAGCAAAGTCACCTTCTCAGACTGCCGTTTTTCACGAGACAGACACAAGATTTAGCCTCTTAGCCACGGCAGGGGAAATTTTCCTCATTTTGCATCTAAAAGTCAGACCAGGCTTTAACTGCTGCCCCAGAGGAGCGTTTCAATCCCTGGAAGGCGCCTCAGCCTTCTCTCCCATAGCCTATATGCCTCTATTTATTTACATATTTAGTCATTGGGTCGAAATAGACACCTGGAAAGCTTCAGTATCAAATCGTGTGTCCAGGTCTGCTGTGGGCAGAGCAGAGGAAGGGTGTTGCGTGGCCGCTTGCCCCTCAGGCTCCCCAGGTGCCCACAGCCGCCACGGCTGGCCATCCCGGGGGGCCCCTGCCCG